ATCATCACCACCACCATCGTTATTACCATCACGATCATCATCATGTATCATCATCATGTATCACTGTCATGTATCATCATCATGTATCATCATCATGTATCATCACCATCAGTTATCTTGTCATCATGCTTACTCACCTCTGTTATAGTCTGAGCTTTTTCTTCAGCCAAAAGTATTAGAGATGTCAGACAACTATTACAATATTAATCAAAAAGAAAACATCAAAACAGTGCATCACCATCAAATATGGGAGTTGTCAGCTTTAAATATGTTAAGGTCGGCACTTGCAAATGTATTGACAACAGTAGCAACATCAACAATAAAGATAGTTTCCACAGCAGAAGTAGCAGTAACACAACAACACAATCAGAGGCTGCAATACCAGCAAGGAATACAAGACCATTAACTGCAGCAGCAGCAACGACATTAGCAGGATTAGCAGCAGCAACTACAGCAACATGATTAGCAGCAGCAGCAACAACAGCAGCAGCAACAACAACAGTAACAGGATTAGCAGCAACAACAACAGCAGCAGCAACAACAACAGTAACAGGATTAGCAGCAACAACAACAGCGGCAGCAACAACAACAGTAACAGGATTAGCAGCAACAACAACAGCAGCAGCAACAACAACAGTAACAGGATTAGCAGCAACAACAACAGCAACAACAACAGTACAGTGAAACCCCTCTATACCGGACAGTGCTGGGACCGATAAAAATTTCCGGTTTAGCGGGGGTTCCGGTATACTGAGGTTTTTGCAAATTACTTTTGTTTTCGATTTGAATAGGTGTGATATCACACCTATTTAAAATATGTTTGTGTCTAATCGTTTGGCGTCAGTATAAACAAACACGTAAACGAAAGTTCAAGTAAAAATATCAACAATAAGATCAAAAACTAAGCAAATTTCTTAACTTTTTTTTTCAAAAGAACGCCAAGAAGAAACATTCTAAATAYGATCTGAACAAAATCCCCGGTAAAATGGACTGGGAATGACCCCAAAGCCATGTCACATAAAAAAACATGGCGGCYGCAACTTCCCGAACCATTCGATCTTTAGTATTTCTCAACACTATTAAACCTTCCTTATACATTCTGTTTGAACATTTATACATTGAAAAGAATTAATTAGTCTTTATATGTCTATTTGTGAACAAGATTTACTATTTAAAGAAAATTTTCGATGATTTTGTGAGTTTAGAAGTTGTCCCTGTAGACTCAATTTATACACCCGCAAATACGCTAGTGACGGTAGTTCCGAAGCAAAGGTACRTTCTTCCGGACTAGCGGGGTTGAATTCTATTGTTAAATAGCGTTTGGTACCAAAATTATTGTCCGGTTTTCGGAATAGAGAGGTTCCGGTTTACTGAGGTTTATTTTACAAAAGATATATGGGAAAAATTTCTGGACCAAAACTTTTGTCCGGTTTAGAGAGAATTCCGGTATACTGAGGGTCCGG